AAAAAAGGACAGACCCAACGGTGAGGGCCTCTGGGACTCAGCAGGAACAGCTACTTTCCCCAGGAAGGAAGTCAGACAGGTAGAAGCTTTGGATGGAGTCAGAGGCTCCAATCTTCATGCAGCTTCTCTCAGTCCTGTAGCCTTCTCACCACCACCACCCCGGATGACCCTGTCAAGAGAAAGGGGTTCCTTTCATAGCAACATTCCCCCCACCCCACCCCACCCCGGGGAACATCAGAAAGCGAAATCTCTCTGGTTGAACTGGAATTCAGCCATATCAGGTGTTACTGAAAAATAAGTGGAGCCTTGGCCGGAGTTGAGAATCTTTCTGTGAATTCAGAGAGCTTTGTTGAAGTGGGCTTTGTGTACTGCAGGTGGATCTGTGACCACACAACCAATTGGACCCCTCACCTGTCAGAGACCTTCCTTGAAGCCAAACTTGTATCATCACTGTCCTTAAATATAGGCCAATGTGGTAGGGCCAGCCCCAGTCCTGCCACTACACTATGAGATTAGACTGATGCGTTCAATTTGAGGAGGGTCAACTCTAGAGTTTATTCTGTCTGCCCAAATGACTTTGAGGTAGTCACTTCCTACCTCTGAGCCTCAGCTTCCATATCTGTAAAATGGATGTTGTTAGGGTTCAGTAAGATTTCTTATACAATTGGGATGTATAAACTGTTGAAAGCTATACCAATGAAAGAGGTAATTATTCTCCATATAGCCAGCCTTCACTGATACATCTTGAAGGGAATATAATATAATCATTTAAAATACAAGATTTGACACAATGTCTAATAGTATAGTTCAGTATTTAGTATAGTTTGTATTGTTTTTTAGGTGCTCTCCAGCCAACTATGATTCATAGTGACCTTATGAACAGCAAATCTGAATCTTTACCCTCTCCTGTGCCTTCCTCACAATCTCCAATGTGTTCAAGACCGTTGTACAGTCACTGTACCAGTCTATCTCGTTGCGGATCTTCCTCTCTTTCTCTGATCCCCTACCTTTCTCAGCATGGTGCCTTTTTCTAAGAACCAGCCTCTCCCAACAGCATGCCTAAAGTATATGAGACAGGTTTTCACCATCCTTACCTCTGAGAAGCATCCTACTTGCATTTCCTCCAGGACAGCCTTATTTGTCCTTTTGGCAGTCCATAGTATATTTAATATTTTTCACTAAAATCACAATTCAAAGGCATCTATTCTTCGGTCTTCCTTATTCATTATCCAACTTTCAGATGCATAGGAAGCAAGTGAAACTATCTTGACACACCTTGGTCTTTAAACTGATATCCATACTCTCTAGCACTTTAAAGAAGTCCTTGACAATAGCTCTCCACACTGCAACATATTATTATTTTTTTTAAAAATTGGTTTGCATCCAACAATTCATTCACTTTTTCATTAATGTACATTGTGTTTCATACAATCTTTCATTTCCATTGTTTCATATAATCATCTATATACATTGTATTTTATATCATTAATTACTATTGATCTATATACCTACTATTACACTGTTTTTAAGTCCTCACTAAATCTTTCCTATTCTTTCAACAACCCCCCAATCCACCCACTAAACTCTACTATCCTAGTGATTTCTACCCTTTCCCTGCTCCTCCACCTTTTCCATTTCCCTTTTTGGACTTTTATACACATCTTATTAGTAAGCCTTCTATTTTTATAATAATGATCGTATGCGGTCTTTGTTCTTATGAGAATGAGTTAGTTCACTTAGCATAATGGTCTCTGGATTAGTATATGTTGTTGTTATGTGCTGTCGAGTTGCCTGCAACCCATAGCAACCCGTAGTACAGTAGCTCTGAACTCTGCCCTGGCCTGAGCCAGTCACACTAATTCTGACATACCAACTCCCATTGCCCCAGTTACTGTATCAATCCATCTCATCTGGGGTCTTCCTTTCCTGCACTGTCCCTCCACCCTTCCAA